ACTGGTACCAATAAAAATGAAAAAGAGACAGGGCTTCACTATGCAGTTCAGGCTGGCCTGGCGCTCACTATGGAGCCCAGGCTGGCCTTGAACTCATCATGATCCTCCTGTGTGCTGTGCAGAAACTGTAGTCGCTATAGACAACTGGTCTGTGCAAATTCATTTGTGAATTACTTTTGACTTTAACTTTAATTAATGTGTATTTTCCCTGGCATTCTTCCAGACAATCTACATAGTCTATATACTTGTTAATTGATTGATTCATTCATGAATTCAATCACCATTTATTGAGCCCTGCAAGAAGCCTTCAGCTGAATTGAGCTCTGGGCTATAGAAATAAACAGATATTTTGGTCCTTGTCAATGAGCACAGTTTACAGATAGTGAACACAAGATGTGTGAAGGGCTTTGGGAATCCAGAGCAGACTCCTAACCTAGCCATGGGTTTGTCTAAATTGTGCCCTAAAGGACATAATTTTATTCCTTTAATCTTGGCTATTAAAGTTAAGTATTAGGATAGGCATTTGATACTGATGTACCAAATGTTAATGGTGTGTTACTAGCTTTGTAGCACTCTGGCAAGTTGGCATAGCAGATTTATGAAACAGCCTTCAACACAAATGGCAGTAGTTTCCATTTGCCCAGTATTGGGCCATTTACAAAACTTCATGTTTCATTTCCTGTTACAAAAAGCTCTTTGAGAGTAGTTTGTTTGTTTTCAGTGATGTCTCTTGTTTTAACTCTTAGCTAAGCTCAAAAAAATTATAGTGTTTCAACAAGATAATTGCAAAAGATTATAAATTGAATGAAATAACTTTGGAAGTTATAATCATTCAAATTGCACTAACTGAAAATTAAACCAATCTTGGGTCTAATCCTACCTCAGCCAGTCTCTTCCTTTCTCTGTCCCTGTCTCAATTTCCTCTACTATTAAATGGGCATGTGAAGGAAAACTTAGTCTTTTAGCCTGAAAAATTTAGAGATAAAAAATCTTAAGAGCAAAGCACCTGACTCATTGAGAAAGATCAGTTTTCCTGACATTTCTATTTTCTGTTTTTCCTGTGATTGAGGAACAGCTCTTAAGGTAAAGCCCATACATATGCCAAGGTTTCCAAAAAGATGTTTTAGAAACAGTGTGCAGAGAAGATCATTAATATTTCTGGGACAAAGTCATTACAAAGTACAAGTTAATCGGATAGTAACAGGCAAGGCATACTATTTAAACACTGTCATTTTGTTTTGATGGGATTGCTGAAAAATTTAAATATAGTAGAAATAATCAACACAAAACTGACAATGGCTAAAGCTACATGTGGTACAATTTATTATGGATGGAAAAACAAACTGAATGAACCTATCTTTGTTGATTAACACTGAACACTGCAAAGTTGGCTCTTGGGAAAATTCCACTTAGTGGGAATAATCAACACAGAATAAAACCAACTGTGGCCCAAATTGCTTGGATGAAAAGGTAGAATTGGTGAAAATACTTACTGACAAAGGAATTTCCTAATTATTGAAGCAATCAGTAAAAATAAGGATGAAAGAGAACTGCTGGATGAATCAAATCTCATGAAATTGAAAAAGAATATATCTTGGTGAAGATTTAATGTAGGAAAAAAATCTAGAAAAGTTGGAAACTGATTAACTTGGCATAGTTAGAAATATAATACATTTATGAGGAGTTAAATTGGCTGAATAGAGTTAATTCTTTAAAAACTTTCATAAACTGGGTATGCTGGTGCATGCCTGTAAATTTAGCACTTGAGAGGCTGAAACAGGATGATTGAGGTAAGGCTGGGCTACACAGTGAGTGCAAGCCCAGCCTGCACTACAAAGCAAGACTTTAAAAAAAAATGAAATGAAAATCTTTTCATAAATTCATTAATATTGATGTAATTCTCAAAGCTTACATACCACAATTTAGTGACAATTTGAACTCTCAAGTTAGATGAACAATTTGGGCAATTCTCCAATTAGATCATAATACTTTTTAAATACTCTTTAAAACACTTATACCTGTAGTTTTACTGGATTTTCTTAGCAGCCTTATGAGATGGTAGGACAGGAATAAGTTCTCCCATTATACAGATATAGAAACTGAGGTTCAAAACATTAAGGGTCTTCCATTATGCTCAAGGCAAGGTCTAATTTAGGTTATGATGGCAGTTCCTACTTTAGTAAACTTCCTCATTCTTCTTTATTACCCATTTTCAAATTATGCTTTACTTGCTAGATAGACGAAAACTCTTCTACTTTTGACCACACAGACCCTATTTTCTGCTACCAGACGAAGCAGGAAAAAGGAGGAAAGAAACAAAGTCAGGGTTTAGAAGCAAGCCATGTAGCACTAACAGAGAACAAAGAACTTGCTTGTCACGTTGCCAAACTTTCAGGGCGGCAGGGATTTTAAGGCTGAGAGAATGGGATGAAAAACGTAGATGAAGCTGGGCATGGTGGTGCATGCCTGTAATCCTAGCACTTGGGAGGCTGAGGCAGGAAAATTACTGTAAGTTCAAGGCCACCATAGGCCTCACAGTGAGTCCAGGCCAGCCTGAATGAAAATACTGAAACCCCATGACAAAAACAAAACAAAACAAAAACAAAAACCACCAAAGAAAGAAAGAAGAAAAACATAGATGAACAGTGCCTGACGTCCACTGTGCCTGGGAAAAGTGAGTCCTGATGGGCAGCGGTGTAACCAGGGTGGGCTGGTGGTAAAGCTAAGACAGAGCTTGCAGCAGGTCTATGTAACAAGTTGTCTCTGAGCCAAGCAGCTGTGCTTCTGCCACAGTGCAGACCTGCAGTTCTCCAGTGGGCTGAGTGGTGGAGCTCAAATGTGTGTTTTACAGAACACCACAGAATAATGCTACATAGAATTGGAAATTCTATAATTGAAATGCATGACTTCTAACAGAAATCATATACATGTTCTGGAAGAACCAGATACGGGTGTCAGAAGGAAAACAAACAAAAATACTAAATGTTTTTTGTTTTTCAAATTTTATTTTTATTAGTACGTTTGTAGTACATTAACAAGTACATTTATTGTGGAGAGTTGGTACTTGTACCCAGCACATCTTAACTCATGACTTTTTTTCTGACAGACAATGCTTTGCTATATATAGAGCTTTGTAGGCCCTTCCCAGGAACTGTTCCACTATTCTCACTGCTCTCCACAATATTTGGTCCTCAGATTAGAAACCACTGCTATAGAAATTGAAATTGAAGGAAAATCAGTGCACTTAAAACAAGCTCTAGGGAAATATTATGGATTAACTAACGGGCAACCTGTAACACTCAAGCTGAACTGAATCACCATGGCCCTGGGTATGGAATGCCCACCTGAGGACTGTTGCCAACAGCATAAAAAGAGAATTAGAAGGGAAGATGCATGCTGTTGCTTCTCCTGGAGAAGCTTGTCATATTGGTTTTTCTGATATGAACTCAGCTGTTCTCATCATGGAAGGAGCTCAGGTCCTCTTTGTTGCTGAGAATGGCTGCAGTTCTCTTTGGGGGAGCTCTTGTCCTTAACTATGGCATCACTTGTTTCCAGTGCAGATCCTTTAGCCCTCTGGTGCAGATTTTCTAGTTTCCACCACTGACCTTTGGGCCTTCTCAGGGCAGATCCTTTGACACAGACTTGTGTGAGACATTGTCATGGGCTCTAGGCTTCCAGCTGAACTCATGAAGGACACTGCCATGGGCTCTAGTCTTCAGTTGTTCTCATACAGGTCATTGCTGTGGGATCCAGGCCTTCAGCTGGATTCTTTGGGTCTGTAGTACATGGACAGATCTCTTGTGCTCTTCTGCATTTGACTTTTTGAGTGAATACTATAAAATAATTATATAAATTATGTGTCCTATATTAAATCTATTTCCTTACAGACTACAACAGGAAGGTAGAACTTTGGCTTGCATTTGAAGACTGAATAGTAGAAAAGGAAAAAATAGGTGTGAGAAAACCAGAAAAAAGACAAATTGAGAACAGGCATCGAAAGCTGAGAAAATTCTCTACTAATTTAATGTTCTTTTATCAATTGGAAGTGACTGCCATTGTTTTACTAACTTAACTGCTGAGCTCACAGAAAATATACACATAATCTTAAAGCACTTCAAGGCAATGGAAAGCCATGCAAGGCTTCTAGGCAAGAAAGGGAAATCTCTGGATTTGGAAACGGTGTTTCTTTGGAAATAGTTTTACTGCATGAAGTGATTCTTTTAAAAACTTTAGGCAACATGAAAATAAATGTAATTTGAAATCTCACCACTCATATCAGTGAAAATTTCTTTCCTGAAATTTCTCCATGTATAAAATATTGTCTCTAACTTCACATAAATTGGATTTATCTAAACAGGCTTTGTTCTGTAATTAATTTTCCCCTGAGAATGAACTGTTTTTTTTATGTCAATAGAGCTTTATCATCATGAAGACTATTTAGTGCACCATTGTATGCATATATCAATGTAATTAGCCCCACATTGATGGATTAATTTACCTTCCCCTCAATAATGAAAAACTTTGTATAACAAATATGTACATTCTTTTCAAACTGCTATCTTTTCAAGATAATTTCTTAAGAGTAGCGGAGCCGTACGTGTAAACATACAGTAATGTTCAGGTTGCCAAATCGTCCTCAAATTTGCAGGGAGGCCAGTGAAGTAGCTTCTAAATTACTTCTGGTGAGAGACAGTGAAACGGAGATAGCGAGGAGAGTACAAAACCACAGGTAATCTAGCCCATTTAGGCCTATGTCCAGTTGGCTGGTACATTCCTTCCGTCCCGTTTTCCTCTTTCACTTTTTCTTAACATGGAGGACGAGGAAGAGCGAAGAACTGCATCTCCCAGCATTTCATAGGGAACACACTGCCTGGGAACTGTAGTACCGGGTCTGAGAACTGTACGGAAGGAGGGTGGAAGGCTGTGGGGACATGCTGGGAGATGTAGTCCAGTAAGGTATCTGTAGCTTGGAGACGCTGCGAACTTAGCCACCTGGGAATGGGGCTGTAGAATGACCTGACTTTTTCCAAAGGTGGTGTCTGAATCTACAAAAGTCGCCGCAGGACGACTGGTTTCCTTCTATTGTCTGTACCATAGAGGGTGGGGCCGTGCAGCGCTGGCGCGCCGCGGAAGGTGCAGGCCGTGCACTGGCCGGAGCAGGCCATGCCGGGAATTGTGGTCCTGGCGCGCCGGGGCTGTGGGACGTGTCGAGACGCCGCACCGCCTCCTCCTCCCCCGCCCTTCTCAGCGGTCCCTAGCCCTCTCCCTCCGCCTCCTATCCCTTGCCCGCAGCGGTGAGTCCCCTCCCCCCACTCGTCGGGCTTCTCAGCGGCTACTGCAGAGGATTCAGAGTCGAGCTGCTGAGAAGGAGGAGGCTTCTGTCCCTGCGCGCCATCCGCCACTCCACTGGACACGGGCGAGGGAGCGAGAGCGTCGCTGCTGTAGCCTCCGGAGAAGACAAGGGCATCGCCGCTTCAGCCCCGCCACCGTTTTCTCGTGCAGCCGCTCACCGGTGAGGAGACCCCCCACCCCCGGCCTCGGCCCGCTCTTCTGGCTCCAGGGCTGCGGGTGCTGGGGTGAATGAGAGTGGGTTTGGGGGGAGGGGGCTGAGGTCGCGATGGAACGGCGGGCTGGCGGGGGCGACTTGTCCAGGCGCGGGCTGGGGGTGGGGTAGAGGTACGACCCAAGCAGGTTGGAGGGACAACGAGAGAGGAGGACTTTTAATGGGAGAAATGACCAGACTTGGGACAGGGACGTGGGATGGAGGAGTGGGGTGGAATTTGGGATGTTCTTAAGGAGAGGTGAAAGATGAGACTGGGGTGGGATGCCTTTAATGGGGGAGGGGACTGAATGAGGGTGGTGGTTTGGGGTTGGCCCGGAGCAGTTGACAGCTTGAGATCCGCGCCTGGGTGGGGGGTAGGGAAATGATTTCAATACAAAGTGAGATGTAAACGGTTGGAATAGGACCCTGGGGAATGTTAATTCAAGAAGGTGGAATGTAGGGTGGACCTGAGGCAGGGTAATGGAGGTGGTTGGAGCAGACGATGAGACCTGAGTTTAAAGTAGGCGTTTGTCATCCGGGGGTGGTGGAATTTGTAGAAATTTATGGAATTACCCCTGGTTTAGGATAGAGCAGAGGAAGTGGAATTGGGGATTTTCGTGGGGTGGGATGATGGATATTGGAATAGGAACGTTTAGGGGTGAGACTTACAGTGAGGGGAATGTGATGGTGAACTGGCAGGAGTTGGATAATTTGGAAGGTAGGCCCTAAATGGGAGGATAAGAATAGAAATTGGGGTGGAGTGTATGAGACAGGATTTAGGGTGTTCTTTGAATCACTGGAGCGGGGCTTGGTGGCTCCCAGCTTGCAGGATGTCGACAGATAGTACATAAAGCTGCTGCTAGGCTGGACTCAGGGAGTGAATGGTGGCAGGTGGTGGGGCAAGGTTGGGGGATGGTATCTCGAAGAAAATGTCCCTTGGCCAAGGTGTTTGAGGGAGTTTAGGAGAATGAACATCTGCGATGAACATCTGAGAGATGGTTGTGGAGAGTGAGGTGGCAGAAGGACAATTTAAGGTACAAGAGACCTGGAACTGTTGGTATGGATGGGGCAGAGAGGATGGATAGGGGACTTTGAGTGGTGCTGGGAAGCAAAAGGTTGGGTTATTCTGGAGGAAAGGACTGTGATGTCCTCAGAGACACAAGAGCCTTAGGAATTGGACACTTACAGGGGCAGCTTTGGTGGCTTTGTTTGGGGGAGGGGCAATAATCGAAAGGTTGTTAGAAGGGACTTTGCCAGGATTTAAGGTATATTAAGACTCTCCTAGAGGACATCTTAAGCTGTCAGTTTGACCTTTTTGTTTACTTATATTAGTATCATGTGGAAATAAAGTCAGCCCAAAGGGTTAAGTTGATACAGGCTTCCGTAAAGTAAATTAAGGAGAAGAAGATGCTATTATTCACATATCCTAAAGAGAAAATTGAAGGGGATCCCTCTCAAAGATGGGCGAAGATGAAAATGGAATGTAATAGATATCATTCAATATGCTATTTCTGCCTTTTCCTTTCCTCTTGATGCATTTAAAATAAGTCCTGGAATTTGGAATTTAAATAGATTGGATGAGCATGGGGTTATTAAGTGTGCATTCTTTGCTTTAAAACTGATGAATGAGACTGAAAAATATAAGACTGAATTTATTTTCCAGGCAGGTAATGTGCACATATGCAGAAAGAGCTTAGGTAGCGCCCCCCCCCCATTGATTGCTTGACGATTCCATTTATTGGTGTCCTGGTTTGCAAGGCAATTAGGGCAATCATTGTATTGCAGGCTAATAATCCTGAGATGAGTCTTGGCACCACCGTTTTATGTAAACAGAAGACAGGAAATATGGAGCTGTCATAAATATTCATTGGTGAGGTGGTTTGGTACTGATGGAGTTTTTTATTTGATTCTCTTTTGACATTGCGTGATAAAATTTAAAATAATTGTACTATTTCTATAGATTGAATTTTCTCCTAAAGGAATTTAAGTGATCAGAATTCTGTCATACGTGGATAAATGAGGTATATAGAGGCATTTTTATTTTATTTTTTAGAGGGTGATGATGTAGGCACATTGCATTAACTACAGAAACAATATCTGCATCTATTCATCACAAATTTGATTTAAAGCTTGGAGATAGCACATTCTGGCAGAATGTTGATGGAAGGTAGAGAGTATATGCAGAAGGAACAGCTTTAGGGAAACAGTTTTGTGAACTTAATTGCATTAACTATGATACGTTAAACATGAAGTGGCTGATGATTAGTGCTCAGACTGAGGAAAAATGAGAGATGTAAAGAGGATAAAATTGACATCAATGGGTTCAAAATGATTTTTTTTTTTTTTGTCTTTTTCCTTTTTATCGGTACCGGGGATCGAACTCACGACTGCCTGCTTGCAAGGCAGGCGCTTATGCCACTGAGCTAAATCCCCAGCCCCGATTTTTTATTTTTGTAAAGCCTCAGAGTTCAGCTCAAAAAGCAAATGATTTTTCTTGGCTTTCATTTTGCATTAAAAATGCAAATATGCATTTAGAATCTTTCTTAAATTCAGAATAAACAAAGTTATGGAAGGTTGGACTTATCCTTGAAATTGAAAGTTTTTTTTTTTTTTTTTTTTTTTTTTTGGTGGGGGAAGAGTAGGAGAAAGATTTTTTTCTTAACTGTAATAAAAATTAAGTTTGAGCAGTCACCTGTGACTTGGTGAGACTATTACTGACTAATGTAAGCATTTCTCCTAATAGTTTTGTTCCAGGGTACAGACATTGCTTTTATGGATCTGCATGGTTTACAGGTGGGATGTTTATATTAAAGACCTAGCTTCTGAAAGCTCCTGCCTAGAAGTGTGTATATGTGTGTGTGTGTGTGTGTGTCTGTGTGTCTGTGTGTCTGTGTGTCTCTCTGTGTGTGTGTGTGTGTGTGTCTTATAGCTAGCTCACCTGTGCAGGAGTAATACGTATGAAATGTTTTAGTATCTTTCTCTCATTGATTCTGTAGACTCTGGTGAAAAGGGGAAGAGCAGGTGGAGGTGTTGGTGGACAGAGGCCTTGGTGGAATGAAGAGCACTTGGATTTATTTATAAGTCAAAGGGTCTGGCTTCAAATCTCAGTTCTACCACTTAACGGCTAAATGATTTCAGTAAAGTCAAAATCTTTCAGACTTGGTAGTAATGATTGTAAAACGTTGTGAATGTTCTCAGTGCCCTTGGTTGTTCACTGTAATATGGTTAAAATGGTAAAATAAAAATCATTTATATTTCCACAAGATTGTTAAGTACAAATTAGTTCATGTCCTGAAATCACTTTATATCCTGAAAGCACTGTACATATGAGATAGGTGCTCACTGTTTATTTATTGTTTGTTTGTAAGTGCCAAAGCAAGTAAAAATGAACAGAAACATTTGTCAAGGAACTTTCAGTGTCATGGGAGAGACAATTTAAATTAGGGGAAGAAGTGAGGTGAAATGAATTTGGTGCTTAAGAATATGTGTCCTAAAGTCTGTCCACCTCTGTTAGCTGTGTGACCTTGGGCACAGTGAGCTTATCTGTAAAGCTGTGATAAAAGAACTGTCAAATAAGGTTGTTTTGAAGATTAAACAAAATAGCCCAACAAAACATTTAACATAGTGTGTTACATAGTGTACATTAAAAGGATATTAGTTACGTTATCATTGGAGGGATAGATGGACGCTGGAATAGTGAATAGCCTTGTATACCTTACCAACTGGTTCCTTAGTATTATGGTATTCTTTTAGTTATTAGGGAAGTATTTTTATTTTGTATTATAAGTATCTGCACTTTGCATGTCTTTTTTTTTCACTTTGCATGTTTGTACTACGTATTTGCATGTTTGTAGTTACCATTTATTTATTTATTTATTCTAAGGATTGAACCTAAAGCCTTCACATTGAACTACATTCATAACCCTTTATTTTATTTTATTTTTTTGAGGTAAGGTCTTGCTAAGTGACTAAATTGTCTACACTAGGCTTGAATTTGCAGTACTTCTGCCTCATCTCTCCCATTGTTGGGATTACAGGCTATGCCACCTTGCCTGTTGGTGTCTGGGTACTTTAAACAATTGTTTAAAGGACAAGTAAAGTAGTAAACAAACAGATTGGCTATTAGCTTCCTCATGTGTATAACAAGAAAAACTATACTGTCAGAAGTTAAATGACTTGTTTAAGGTTATGTGGTCATGGAGATAGAAAGTGGAGAGAGAAAGGAAGTAAAAAGGGTCAGGATGTGATATGTGTATGTACCAGTTCCTCATGATGCATATATTTATCATGTATTGGAAATACTAATAAAAAAGGGACAATATAAAGTTAGCCAAAATGCTTCTCAAATTAAAAAATTAAAAAAAGAAAAAGGTTACATACCTAATAAATGGATAGTCCCAGAATTCTAATTCTTCAATCCTGTTTATATACTCTTAAATAATGAAATGATTCACGTGGCTAAAAGTGTACATATTCTGCATCCACAGAGTAAAGAATAACAAGTTGAACAGCTGTGAACTCTCGTTTGATATCGTGAAAAGAAAATTTCTAGCACTTTTAAAGCATCTTGGGGGCCCATGCTGGTTGAGTTTTTCTCCTTCTTCCTCTCTCAAAAGTAAATACTTTTGTGAATTTTATGTGAATTTTATTTTTTTTTTTGTACTTTTACTAAACATGTGCATCTCTCTAAACAATATTTTTGGTACATCTGCATTTTTTTTTTGTGGTGCTGAATCCAGGACCTTGCTCATGTTAGGGAACACTGCCACTGAGCCACGTCTTTAGCTTTACATTCACAGCTCTTTGTGAGTAGAACTATATTGTAAGTTTTCTTCTGTGACTTGTTCTATCCCCCCCCCCCCACTTTTTTTTTTTGAGACAAGGTCATTGTGTAGTCCAAGCTAAATCTTGAACTTACTGTGGAGCCCAGGCTGGCCTCAAACTCACAGCGATTTTCCTGCATCAGCCTC